AAGAGGTTCTCTGACTTCAAGAGCCCCTTAAAAACTAGTTTTTCTTTAAAATCGCGGCATTGGCCCACCCAACGACCTCCATCTCCTCTCTCTCTCACTCGCTATCTCTCTCGCTCTCGTTATCTATCTACAGGGTGTCCCAATAAAAAAGGTCACGCTGGCATTTTTTCATGTCAAATCCGATCGACCTGAAATTTGGAACAGAGCTGCGGAAGTGAATTTAAAATGTTCACAGAAACTTTCAGCCCGATCGGCACAGTAGTTTTCGAGTTATGGCGAAAATAAACTTTATTTTACGTTTTTAACCTGGATTTCGCCGGAATTGCGTCTTGGAATGTATCGCAAAAATGAAGAGCCGACCCTTTTTTACCTTAAAAAATTTTTAATTTCGTAAAATTCGTCTTGGAAATAGGTTGTTTAAGTAATTTTAACAAGGTGTTATCATCCCCGATGTTAAGAAGAATGAGGGATTTAGGGCCGAAATTGATGTTAATTGATGCAAAGTCCAAAAAGATAGCCGAAAAAATGAAGCAAAAGTGTTGAAAACACAGTATTTTTGTTATAACTCGATAACTACCGCACCGATCGAGCTGAAAGTTTCTGTGAACATTCTAAATTCCCTTCCGCGGCTCTGTTCCCAATTTCAGGTCGATCAGATTTGAAATGGCGAAATGCAAGCGTGACCTTTTTTATTGGGACACCCTGTATATGTTTCTCCCACTCTCACTCGCTATCTCGCTCCCGCTATCTCTCTGTCTCGCTCTCGCTGTCTCTCTCTCTCTCTCTCTCTCTCTCTCTCTCGCTATCTATCTATTTCTATCAAGCTCTCTCCTCGGTTTAAAGTCTTTCGATTAGCTCCAAGTTGAGGTTTCTACCATTAATCGGCTTCCAATTAGCATCCTCTATAGACCCCTAAATCTCCTTATTCCACACCCCTCTAACCATTCCAAAATTTAATTGTTGACAGCTGACTAGAAAGATACGGCTGGTCGAGACACACATTCCCATTTCCCATTAGCAGTTATTAGCTCGGTACCCCGGGAGAATGCCCCGGAATATCCGGGAGACCCGAGACTCTGGTTGTGGGGGGTGGTACAGCAGCAATGCCAAGTAGAAGCCTACACACGAAAAGCCATTCCGGCACAAAAATCCTGGCAGCACGATGGCTAGCCCTCGGTCTGTATCGTTACGCAAGCTTTTGGAGCCGCCAAGGAGGAAATTTACGCGAAAAGCTTCGTTTGCGCCGGTTGGTTTTTGGAGGATGGTAATTGGTTTATGGTGGTTTTAAAGGGACGATAGAGGCAAAAACAACTTCCAAAAGTTTTTTGCAAAAGCGGCAATCGAAAATCTAGGAATTTATTTTTTCATAATAGAATTTTATAGCCGCTGTTAGATATCCACACTTTTTAGGAACATCGATAAAGTTATTAGCGCAGTAATGGGGTTTTGCAGAAATTGAGGGTAATTATGATTGTACAATAACATTATATCATACGATTTTCACAGATATTTTGCCAAGATCCTATAAATTCTGCCTTACCGATACCTTTAAAACCGAGAATTTAGGAAGTTTTAAGTCACGACTTTGATAAAAATCAAATATTTCGATAGTCCCCAAAGGTATTCGTCGCACTACCACAGCTTTCATAATTCAAGCGTATTTTGCCATTTAGAATCTTGTAAATATGCAAATTTCATGCAGCGTGCTTAGCCTTAAAAAGTACCTTAAAAGTCCCACAAAAATCCATACGTTACAAATACCATAAAACAAAATTTAAGGACGGAGACAGTCCCAGAAATCCAACATCTGACTAACCAACCCCCATCGAATAACCCACAAAATCCCGAAGAAATAAGGGCTTCACCTCCTCTCTTCCCCCATCTGACTAATTTGTCTTGCCAGGCAACCCGGGAATTGCATTCCACCCTTATTCGCCCCCTTCCACTCCTCTTTTTACTCTATTTTTCCATCCCATTCCATTCCATTCCATTCGGACGGACCGACCAAGGCCACGATTTTGACCTCGACCGGGGTGCCTTACCTGGGTGCCATCTGCTGAGCTGCCATTTTGCCGTCGGACAGATGATAAAGCTAGCCAGCGCACTAAAGGCAGGCGCACCGGTCTCCATACAAATAACCCGTTTTTGCTTTTTAATGCGCCTTACTTAGTCAACAATACAAATTATACCTTTATTTTTATAATATATACCGTATTTTAACGCACCATAGAGTACTTTATCGCGAAACTGGCTTGTAGGGGTCCATATTCTCACGTATCGGTGCTTTATTGCACATTTTTACCCGGATTTTTATGCTTTAATACATTTAGTGGTAGGCACTCAGATTTTCGAAACTCATATTTTCGAAAACTCATATTTTTGAAACTCATATTTTCGAAATCATAGTTTCTTAGGTTTTCCCGGGTGACCTAAGCCTATCCAAAGCTGTAAATATTAGTTTTCGAAAATATGAGTTTTCGAAAATATGAGTTTCGAAAATATGAGTTTTCGAAAATATGAGTTTCGAAAATATGAGTTTCGAAATGTGAGTTTCGAAAATATGAGTTTCGAAAATATGCACGCAAATCACATTTAGTAAGGGAAATAGTTTAATTGAAGACGAGTCGTTTACTTCGTGGATTGAGAGCGTAAAAATGATTATTCAAAGTAAAAGCTTCAATTTCGAGGCTATTTGATATAAAAATAAGAATTCTTATTAGTGGTAAGAAAGGTAATAAACCAGGAAAAAATATTGTAAGAAAGAAAAACCTTGAGAACGACGGGGATAACGCGTGATTTGTAGGCAACGTTTCAAATAAAAAGAACGCACATGTAGACCAACATAATACTACTAAACTAATAGCTGAAGACGCTTCAAATAAACTATTTCCTTTACTAAATGTATTAAAGCACCAAAAATCCGGGTAAAAATGTGCAATAAAGCACCGATATCTGAGAATATGTACCCCAACACGCCAGTTTCACGATAAAGTACTCTATGGTGCGTTAAAATACGGTATATATTATAATAATAAAGGTATAATTTGTATTGTTGACTAAGTAAGGCGCATTAAAAAGCAAAAACGGGTTATTTGTATGGAGACCGGTGCGCCTGCCTTTAGTGCGCTGGCTAGCTTTATCATCTGTCCGACGGCAAAATGGCAGCTCAGCAGATGGCACCCAGGTAAGGCACCCCGGTCGAGGTCAAAATCGTGGCCTTGGTCAGTGGATCCATTCCATTCCTATATACCTACCCCTCTTTTTCTCACCCGCCCAAAAATTTACCCACCCAGCCGAGGACGCAATCAACCGCACATTTTGGGGTTTTTGAGGCCGTTGACTGGCGTTCCACTTCCTCTTTATTACTACATACACCTCGAAATGCACCGCTATGCGACGTCTAGTTTCCGGAATGCATCTATTACGAGCTCCGGGCAGGGATCAGCTAGATTCAAGCGTTTGACGAACTCGCGGTTGACGATTAAAGTACTATAGCAACTAGAAAAGACGTATTATTAATAATTTGGCAGCTAAAAAACATAGATTAATCGGAAAAATAGCTTAAACATTATTAAAAGTTATTTTCACCATTTAGCTGAAACTCCACTCGGACCGGGATCACCACTCAAATGCAGCTCCACATTCTCCACTCCTTAATTCGAAGCTTGAAGGGTACGTTAGGTGTATTTAATACAAATATAAATCAAGTTTACTACCATTTTATTGTAAAAAATCAGTTTTGATCATTTTTAGCTACACCGAAGAAGAGCTTGCCGAATATCGTCAAGTTTTCAACATGTTTGATACAGGTTAGTAATAACCAAAAATTACTTTCATCGTTCGCAATTGCAACATTAAAATTTTCAGATCGTTCTGGAGCTATCGGACTAGAAGAGCTTGAGGCTGCGATGCGAAATCTAGGCCTAGAACAGACAAGGGAGGAATTGGATCGTATAATTGATGAGGTGACTCCAGCTTTCCGATACCTTGAAGCTAATATCTACTTATTTCAGGTAGACCAACGTGGTAATCACGAAATTGACTTTGATGAGTTTTGTGATGTTATGCGACGTCTTTACGATAGGTTGGCAGAGCAGTAAAATCATAACCCAATTTTTTTCAGGAAAAAAAGCTGGAACAGCGTCATCAAGGAGTGCTTCTCCGTTTTTGATCGCGTAAGTAGTTAGACAAAAATTAAAAATCGGCATTTTAGTCTGAATCCGGGGTCATCTCCAAGAAAGATTTCCAATATATTCTTCGCGAGCTCGGGGACATCACCGACTCGACGATTCAAGATGAAATATTTTTGGAGGTATAGGATCGTAACTAGGAGATATACAAGCTTAAGTTTTTTAGGCCGACGTTGATGGCAACGGTCTGATCGACTATGACGAATTTACGTATATGTGTAAAAATTATATGCTGGACGAGGATATTAATTGAAAAGTGATACCGGAATTGCTACGGATAGACGAATTGCGAGGGCCAATTATGATCTCTACATTCTAAAGCCTGAATAAATAGTATTCTATAACAAAAAATCACAAAATTAGTTGTTTAAAGGAACACAGAAAACGCGCGGCACCACATTTCCCAGGGCCACCCTCTTCGATTTCCTGATTTCACCGGATCGGACCCGGCGAAATGCGCGCAAAAAGCGGGGCCAAACAAGCCGCACCGGACGACAATCCTCCCCACCATCCGACCATCATTCTTCACACTCTCCTACCCGGAACATATATTCTTTCAGTCTCAGAAATTTGTTGGGGTGGATTTTGTGTCTATTACTGCGATTTTTTTGTGGGATTTAACTTGTGGATTAAAAATTATATTTTCCGCTTTAATACCTTAACCACGAATTCGAAAACCACAAATGTCAAACTCCTGCAATCCAAGACTACGAAGCCCAAAATCTAGAATTCAAATTATGTAATTAAAATTTGGAAACAATCGAGCCTAATTTAAACTTTTGTATTCGGTGTTTTTAAATATCTTGTAGTAAACCGTCGCTACTTCCCCCTAATTTTCGATCAGCAATTTAAAGCGATCATAAATGGTGCAGATTCTTGGTTGGCATCCTGTCAGCCTGTATCCGTTCGTATCCCGGGAACGCAAACAAACGCACAGAACAGCAGCCAGCCGCTGCCCATCTCGATGGCAATTGATCTTCCGTACACGTCGTTTTGTTGCGTCTACGATTTGCAAATATGCGTTAATAATCGGCATGAATACCAATATTTTAGGTTTAAAGCTACGTTGGAGGCAAATATGTGAGGAAAAAAGAGATCTAGGTTTGATTACCGCATTTAGAACAGTTAGTTTGGCCTTACGGCGATCACTTTTTGGAAAATCGTATTTTCGAAAAGCCATATTTTAGATAATAATGGATTGCCCGATTTTTATACAATTTTTGGAAAAATCGCCTTTCGGAAAGTAACGTTTTCGAGGCTCATTGTTCGGAAAATTGTCTTCTCGAAAGTAGAATTGCGAAAATCTTACGTTTAACGTTTAACGACTAATAGGAAATGGCCACAACTGGCGATGCAAATTCTTTGGATACTAATTTCTAGCACGGCACGATTTTCGAAATCGTTTTTCGAAAAAGTACTCTTCGCAGCATGGTGCTTTCGAAAAATGATCATTCACCGTCCTGTCCGTTTTATTCGGTAAGCAAAACCGCAGACAAAAACTTTTCTGATAAAATAACCACCCCTCCTCCTCTACCACACTTTTCCCTATCTACGAATAACAAGAGAAAGCCGTCTGTGGGGTAGGTGGGCTTGACGGGTGGCTGGCTGCAATGCTATATGTCGAGTATACAGCGGCTGTCCGTGTCTGTCCGTTATAGTACCAGTTCTGAATGTTCCCCTTCCTCCCCTCTCTCTTTTTTCCACTGGTCAACGAAAAGGGTGAGGATATGGATACTTTTTATGTTTTTCCTCCGCCCCGCAACTGCCAGCCTTGGCCGTGTGCCTTAACCTGTTTGCTGGGGTTATAAAAGCGAACGCCGAAGGAGGTGTCGCCTTCATTTTGGTAGTGCTTGGTCTGGGGGGATTTTGCAAAGGTATCGCAGCATTACGGTTATTTTTACACCTTGTACTTAATTCTTGGTATGTTTCATTAAATTCCATTGTGTATCTGAGATAAATTCCTTAAAATATGCTATTTTTTAGCTTAAAAGGCCGTCCGCGGGTCACTCGAACATCCCCCATTATGGCTTGGCACAGTTTTTTTCGACCCCGTTTTTTTGATGCCATGTGAAAGAGCATGGTCGAATTAGTAGGACTGCATAGTTTTGAAAGTTTAATAAGTTTGTTTTTGGGGTTTAAACGGCCGTTAAAGTTGCGTACCCCGAAAAACTATTTCGGAGCTCACTGGGCAGAACTGACTGAAACTTTGGGACAATACCTAATTTGGGGTGCTGATCATTTTTGTAATACATTGTGAAGCACGAAAATGGCCAGAACATAGGAATATCGCGTAGTCAAAACAGTTTTTTCGGGTTTTCGTTATGATGGAAAGTTTGCTGTAAGCTGAAAGTAACATCAAAAGATGCGCAAAAATTTTCTGCACCCGAATGGTGTATTTTTTACGATGCAGCAAGTTTTCCATCATGTCGAAAAATTAGCTTTTCTAAAAATTAAGAAAACCATCGCAAAATGTTTAAGAAAGCTTATTTTCCAACAGATGTAAATGGTGTCGAAACCTTTCTGCTTATTGCAGAGGTTCGAAGGGAGTTTCCTATCCCGTGCCCCTTGCCTGTGATACCGTAGTCCCCGGCGCCCCCGGAGAGCCGCGCTCTCCGATTATTGGGTTAATTGCCTTTTTTGGGGGGATTGCCCTTTTTTTGGGTAGTTTCCTGGGAGCAAGCCTCCATGCTGCCCAATATCGTCAGAGTTGAGCCAAAACCTTTGTATTGCTTTGTGCAATATGTTTTGAACCAGAACCTTGTGACCAAGCGATGAGTACAATTGTATCTCAGTTTTGTTCATTGCCGATAAACCTTTTGTCTCTAGACAATTGTACCGAAATGCATTTGGGACTCTTTACAAGATTCTACCACTGAACAATCCAAGCTTCATCTCCTTGTTGTGGCTTCTTGGGTTCGTGAATCTTTCTTGGCCTATGTCGAGGATACTAGGTTCGGGAGAGTCTGAACGGGCCCAAGGGGCAAAGGCAGAAGTATAAAGTGTGGCAAGTCCCTACTCTAGTCCTCCGTGATCCTATGGTAGAGGCAAGAATGCGGGAAAGACTTTATTACTTTTGTCATGGTGCGTCTCGGGTTACGAATTCGAGTCTAGTTTCCCAATGCATTTTCGGTCAAAATCGGCTTTGAAATCAGAACCAAACCAATACCAAACCAATGCAATGTGGCGCCTGAAAAGGCTGCCGCCCCGTCCTGGACGTGCTGCACACTCCAAGACCCGGCCAATAGAAGGATCAGCCGCGTGTTCTCGTCTACGCTCGTCGACCGAGCTCTAGCTTGCTGACGACGATGTGAAGATGGGATGCCCTGCATGCAATCGTGCAGGTTGAGGCACTGGACCTTTTGGAATTGACATTCGCAGAAGTAAGGTATAGTTTCCCCGTGTTGTATACAAGCGTGCGTCGTTCGCATCGCCCAATTCGCATTTTTTGGTCAAAAAACAAGTGTTAAATTCAAAACTTGCGCGCATTTTAGTCCAAAGTTTTTTTGTTTTCAAATCTTTCGTTACGGCAAATTGTTGACGCGTTCCCTGGGAACTTTCCCCCATGTATATAAACCCTCTTTCCCTTTTCTAATCCCTTTTTATTCCAAAAAACTGACTTCTTTTCTGTATATACACTTTTCTTTTCATATTTTTTTTTTCACTTCTAACTTTCTTACCCAAATTTTCATCTCTCTTTTCTAACTTTTCTCACCTTTTCACTTTTTTCTTTTGCAAACGAACCAAGTGTTCACTCTAAATTCCGTTTTCAATACCAAAACCTTTGGAGATCAGCGAGCTAACTTTCGCCACGTGCGAAAAGAGGCTTGCGGCATGCTTCGGCGTGTGATCCTCAAATATCCAGCACCCTTTATGCTTTTTGAAAAAGCAATCTGCCAGCCAGCTACGAGCGTCTACTCAATGTATGGAGCGAGGAAGCAAGGAACCCAACAATCAAGCACCGACGAGCGATCGATTCCTCGTCATGAAGTGTGCAAAGATGAAACCAAAGCCAGCCCCTCCCGCTCATCGTCAACACCTTCGCTAACTCGTAGTTGATAGGCAGGTAAGTCCATTTTCCAAGGTAAAGCGAGAATTCTTTCACCATGTGTGAAATAATGCTCGCGCTACACGCTCGTGTAGTATTTACCTTTTGGAAACGCTTTTCATACCAGCACCCGCTTCCGTTTGTAAAAGCGTTGAAGCCGTTTTCTAAACCAAAACCACTTTCTGATCAGTTTTCGGCAACAATACGGATTCCGTATTGCCCGTTAACTGGGGAAATACTATTTCCTTATGTCAGAAAGTTTGAACCAAGCCAAGAATTCGGCATTGAACGTGGCGATTGCTATATTGGTTGCCCTCTTTGCCGGTATTCATAACCAAAACGAATTTATCAACGTTGAGCGACACTTTCTCGCCTTCGAAGATGAGTTCATCAGGACAAGTCTTACGATTGCTGCTGACGATTGCTATATTGGTTGTCCGCGTCGTAAGATTTTACTGAATTTCCCTCTGGTTCTACTATCATGGTAGAATCAATCAGTTCCTTTGAGAATCAGTGAGCGTAGTTTCCATCAATGCGTGGACAGAAGCTCGCGGCATGCTTTTTGCGTGCGATTCTCAAGCTCTCCGGACCAATTTCTCACATTTCCAAGGTCAAAGCAAGAGTTTCGTGTACCAAGTGTACAAAAATTCGAGCTGCACACCCGTGTGTTCTACCTTTGGATATTCTTTAAACCAAAACACTTTTCTACCCTTTTTGGGAGAAAAGCGGCCTTGTAAAAGGTTGTTTATCAAGCCTCAACGCAGCGGCGACAACAACGTAACCGCCGTCAAAAAGCAACCCGCCATCAGCCTCGTCGACAATTCAACGCCAACTACAAAGAAGTTCGAATCGACTCGCTGATGATTCAACAAGGCTTTACTATCAACTCAAAACCGGTTTTCGAAGTAGAGTAAGAGTTTATTACCATTGGTATTAAAACTCGAGCCACATCCTGTGTGCTATCTGCTTTCGAACGCTTATTAAGCCAAAACCTTGTCAATGCCAGTCGATTCAATTCGCTGTCAACGACAAATCCTGGGAAGAAATTTAGCGGTGCTTGTGGCGATTGCTATATTGGTTGCCCTCATCGCTAGATTTTCCTTTCAGTAACTACTTTTGACAAAATTTCTTTGGCAGCATGGAAATAACGTGCTTTGCCGATGATTTGAGGTGTGGAAACCAGTTTTCAACCCTTATTTTGTCAA